TGGTTCTGTATTATCTTCATCGATTTTTTCAGACTTGAGTGAGAGCAATCTTCCCATCAGAAACCTTTATGATCGAAACGAACATGCTTCTCCAGACAATATCTTCTTCTTCTCCTCCTTTTCACCGTTTCTATCTCCACCACCATCCTCAGATTCTCCCTTCGCTTAAGTTCCCTCCCAACAAGCTCTCTCTTCAGGTAAACACTCCACGTTGCTTCTCTTCTTTTCAATTCTCACGGTTTCTGGTTTCTTCTATGTCGGATTTAGTGTAGATGAACTTTGCTAATCTTCCTCCATGTTGTGGATGAAGGCAGATACATGGAAGGACTTTGGCCATTAGATCTTTTCATGGTAACCCCACCTCTCCTTCCCTGCCTTAAAGTTTCATACTTTATCCATCAAAATGAGTGCTTTTGAGTCCTAGGTTTTGATTTGATTCACCAGATTGATGATGGTAGTAGCTTCAGGTGTCTTTGTGTTTCTCACTGTATTTGTGGATCTTCTTTTATAAATCTGCAGAGTTTTCTGCTAGAGTTTTACCGGTTTTGAGCAAAGTTTCTTTGAAGAAGTTAACAAGCAAAGGAGCTACCTTTCTGCTTGGTCAGAGCTTGTTGATAGTTTCTGCTAACCCACAGTTGGCTGCAGCAGCAGAAATCGTGAAGCACGAACCGGTTTACGAAGTTGGAGAGTTATTCGAACTTAGTATTCAGCTTTCTTACTTGCTGTTACTACTTGGATTGCTCGGAGTCGGTACTTTCTATGTTATCCGTCAAGTGCTTGTGCGTAGAGAACTTGACCTCTCTGCTAAAGAGTTACAGGTATTGAATCCAAAACATCCATGATATTGATCTCATGAATGTTTATCTCATGGTTTGATTTTAAAAACCTGATGAATCTGGATCTTGTGAACATGATTAGATTGACTCAAGTAGCCATGTTTGCTCGAACGACTGTTGATATTGATCGACTCTGTGTTCTGTGGTTTTTTTATTTTTGTTTGAATAATCTGAAGGAGCAAGTTAGGAGCGGCGATGCAAGTGCAACTGAGCTCTTCGAGCTCGGTGCAGTGATGCTGAGAAGGAAATTTTATCCTGCAGCCAACAAGTTCTTGCTTCAAGCCATCCAGAAATGGGATGGTGACGACCAAGATCTTGCCCAGGTAACACAAAATTTATACACACGCATGCGCACACTGTATCCGGCAAGTGGAAAAGCCAATTGACACTATGAAATACAATTCGCGAGACAGGTCTATAACGCTCTTGGGGTGAGTTATGTCCGAGAGGAGAAACTGGACAAAGGAATCGCTCAGTTTGAAATGGCGGTGAAGCTGCAGCCCGGTTATGTAACGGCTTGGAACAACCTTGGGGATGCTTATGAGAAGAAAAAAGAGCTGCCTTTGGCGTTAAAAGCTTTTGAAGAGGTTTTGTTGTTTGATCCAAACAATAAGGTGGCTCGGCCTCGACGAGATGCGTTGAAGGATCGCGTTAAGCTCTACAAAGGCGTTGTGGCGGTTAAGTCTAAGAAACGGTGACGCAAAAGCAAAGACACGGATTCGAACCAAGAACCGTTCGTCTCTCTCCTCTCTTGCTGTTTTTTGTTTTTGTTTGATAATTTGTAAGGACATTTTATTTTAATAGGAAAATGGAACTTGTTTTTGTTGTACTTATAAAACCACTCATCTTATTATTCGGAATTGATACAGAGTTTTGAGTTGAGTAAAGAAAACAATAATGAAGATAAGCTCACACAAAGATACAAAAGAAGAAGCATACATAATTATAGAAGAAGATAAGAGATTTTGAAAGTGTTTTTAAGGACACTTGAGCTTATTGCCATGTGTACGGAGAGTGGCGTAGCAAGGACATGCTGCTGTGTTACCGGAAGTTCCAGGCGGTACACACTGACACTTAGCACAGCAACTTCCACACGCTCTCTTACACACTTTCTTCCTCGACGTCTCTCTGCATCTCCTTGCGCACGCATACCCACAATCTGCAACAAAAAAAAATGGATCCTCTCTTTAAACAAAACAAGAATGAAAATACAGAGGAAAAGAAGAGTGTTACTAACTGAATCGTGGACGATGGTATGTTCTCTTAAACGCGGCCGTTTGGTTCTCGTCGTTCGTCTGAATCTATTAGCAAGAAGGGGGGGAAAGAAAGCAGAATTAAACGCTCTTGAAAGTTTGTTTTTGTAATATGTTTGTACAATCACTTTTACCTGAGAAGAAACAGAGGAAGTTTCAGAGTTGGTGTATGAAGAGACCTCTGCAAGTACCTGTGAAGAATCAGACATAAAATCTTCAGTGTTTTTTGTTTGTAGAGAAGCTTGTCTTGAAAAAAGTGGGTTTGAATAGTACTTTTTACCTGATTAAGCAGAAGAAGAGAAATGAGCATAACAAAAGCGATTACTTTCATCTTCTTAGTTAGCTAGTGTCTTTAGAGGATTTATTTTGAAGTAGCTAGTGTGTGAATGATTCTTTATATAGACACATTTCAGCTTTTTTTTTTCCCTGAAAATAAAAGAAATATCTCTTGTTTGGATAGATATCACATGCATGCATAAAACTTTCATCGCTGGACTGAATATAAATCACAGATTTTAGATTGTGTTTTTGCTGTAAAGTGTTGGAGTTTGATGCAATTATTTTAGTTTTGATTGGTGCTCTTTTTGTTGTTTGGAGCACATATAACAAATTAGTATGCAAGGAAGAGGAAGACAATTCAAACCAAATAGTGTTACAAAATGTAAATGTGTGCGAGTTCACTGACTTGTCGTCACTCGTGTGGAGACAAACGTACTAAATCTGCCATAAAGAAAGAGACAAAAATGGGTACTTTGGAAGTTAGTGTCTTAATGATTTCTTTGCCATAAGAGTGGTTACAGCTGTCTCTTAGTTGAGACAGAAAGATTGAGAGGGAGATAGATATTGAAGGAAACGCAGACGCAATATTGTTAGAAAACCATGCTTTTATTCTGCCATTTTATCTTCCATCTTCCATTTCTCTAACTTATTTGTCAATGATATCGAACAAATTACTTAGGTCATGATTGTTTTTTTTTTTGTGTGTGTGTTGTGTTGGCGTTTTCATGCTATCTAGATTAAGATATTATATATAGTATGAAAACAGAAACACAAACGTAATTTAGTTTTTCTTTGTTCCCAACCAACAATTGGCAGGTTCTCTCTCAATTAAATATATGTATACTCGACATTTAAAAATTTAATATATCATACAAACAGAATAGTATTCTCATGCATTTATAAATCTAAAGGACAAGTCGATATAAATCAAGTTTTTTTCACCTGTCTCTCAGTGGTACAATATTAGGCATTGTCAAATATCCCACGTACTCCAAATGTTTTTCTTTTCGTAAGCCTCTGGAAGAATATGGATTACTTATTATCCCGCATTTTTAATCGGGATATGATAACAGATGCTGCTTGGGCTTTCTGTGGATTGATATATTTGAAATGATGAAAGTTTACAACAATGTCGACCAGTCCCCAAGTGATATTAATTATCAGTCTAGCCAGAGCGGAAGAAAAGGAATGGTTCTTGGCTAACGTATCGCCACCTTTTGATATGTCATGGAAAGATGACGAGCCCACTAGTGGGATTAGGTGGGTTTTGGAGGCTACAAGATGGTACTACCGATCTAACAGGACTCAAAAGAATGCACAAGGGAGTGTCCCCTCTTTATACCGCCGAGATGCATGATCTCTTATATATATACCCTCTTCAAACGTATATTTTTTGTTGTTATCAAATGTGAAAGGTAAATTGACTATATATTCTTAAATCATTCCAAATCTAAATAGATTTGGTATTATGAAATATCTCAAAGTAATTTATATGAATGTTCAAATACTAAAAAGAAAAAATTTATATACATTTATTAAAAGTAGTCTTTTTTTTAATGATTTTTAATACAAAATCATAAAAGATTGTTACAATCAAAGATGTACTTTAAATATTAACAATTTTTAACTTCTATTGAATAAACTTGTGATTCAACTAAATTTATAGATAGTCAAATCCAATTGCCCCTCAAACCGAGTTGTTACCGTTTGGATTTGTGAACGCGGTGACGATGAGTCTTGTTGCTCTGGTCCTCCTAATATTACACATTTTCATTGTTTCATGTGTAGATGCAGGCCAAGTCGTTTTGATGGATTCCGATTCCAACATCACTAACGCTTTCGACGACATGGAAGCTGATTTCTGTAAGCTTTGCCTTGATTCTTCGTCGATTTTGCTTCAACATACGGCTTTTCAGTCTTCATTACCTTTTTTTGTCGTCTACTGCTCACACACGTTACATTATTGAACTTGGGTTATTACACAACAACGGTCCACAGTTAAACTACTAAGCTTGGCCAATGTTTTCATAACTTTGTCACCACTTCTATGTTCAATTGTCAATTGGTTTTATATAATTTTCCTTCGGAGTGTTAATGGTTTTATAATTGTTTTCGGATAAGAGGGCTTGAAAGTTGAAACAGAGAGGTTATGAATCTTTTTGTTTGGATTTTGGTGAGTATAGTGCATATGATACTTGTTAGTTTGCTGATGCTGATAAAAGTTGTTTTTCAGCTCCATTAGTGAATGCTTCGGTAGAAACCGGAGTCCTTTACGTGGCTGAGCCTCTCGATGCTTGCGAAGACTTGAGAAATAAACGGGGGCAAAGCCCTAACAGTACTTCCCGTTTTGTGTTGATCGTAAGAGGAGGCTGCAGTTTCGAGTACAAAGTAAGAAACGCACAGAGAAGTGGTTTCAAGGCTGCCATTGTCCATGACAATATGGACCGCAACATCTTGATAGCAAGTAAAATACTAAAATCTATACTAAGTAAGTCCCAAATCTCCAATCAATGTTACAAATCTTGATTTTGGGATTATTTTCAGTGGGGGGAGACCCGGACGGTATAAAGATTCAAGCGGTTTTTGTGACAAAAGCAGCTGGAGAAGCACTCAAGAACTATGCTGGTTTGATCAAAACGGAGGTCATGTTGGTCCCTAGTTTAGAGGACTCGGTGTGGTCATCGTTTGCCACCATAGCATTGATGTTGTCGCTAGCCACTTTCGTTGTTCTGGCCACTTGTATCTTCGTCTATAGGCGTTGCATAACACACATGAACGCTACATCACAGTTCCATGGGATGAGCCGTAGAATGGTGAAAGCAATGCCGAGTGTTGCATTCATTTGTGCAAAAGAAGACAACACGACTTCTTTGTCTTGTGCTATCTGCCTCGAAGATTACAGTGTTGGGGACAAGCTCAGGGTTCTACCTTGCAGTCACAGTTGAGTAATTCCGTTCAAAACTCTCTCTCTCGGCTTTGTTAGAACAATAAACTAATGATTCTATCATCCTTTTGGTGTTTCCAGAGTTTCATGCTGCTTGCGTAGACTCGTGGTTGACATCATGGAGAACATTTTGTCCAGTGTGTAAACGGGATGCTAGAACAAGCACAAATGAGCCACAAGCATCAGAGAGTACACCGTTTCTCAGATCTTCCATCGCGGCATCATCCGTAGTGCTTATAGATACTCCTCCTGTGGGATCCTCACTCTCTTTCTCTTCAGGGCACATAAGCTCGTCCTACATTCAACAATCTTTCAGGTCTTCCTCTCATCACAGCCGATCTTCCCCAATAAATGTCAGCCGTATCTCTGCGGATCTCAGGGAACAAACCTCCCCATTGAACTCTTCATCGCAGAAATCATACATCACATGTATGGGTTCTTTGCACTCACCATGCCGGCCTAGCCCGAGCAATGTGTCGCCTGGATTAGTCCAATCAACATATCATCAGTTCCATCCCCTGCTATGCAGTGAATCAGCAGGTACGTTATCTCCTTTCGCCTCTGCACACTCGCTTCGAGAGTGTTAGACCAAGCTTCCAGCAGAAACCATAGAAGAATCTGACTCTCTTAAGTCCAGTACAGTCCAGTTTGGTTCATGTAGGATTCTTCTGCTTTTGTTGTTAGGTCTACACATCAGACCCTCATACAGCTAGTTTCAATGATATGTAATATACCTGTGTCATGTTGGTTTTGTTGTTGAACTTTTTTGGTTTGAATCTGTTATGTTACGACCAGTAACATACAGCTCAACTACCAAAGACAAATTAGATACCAAAGAAAATGTCACGTGAGGCACAGTTTTGATCTTTGTCTCCAATTATATCATCAGCCAGGATATGAGCCTATAGTTGATAAAAGAATTCAAACTTATATCTGAGATTTGACTAACCTACAACGTCAAATGGATTTAAAGATTACACAGCAGAACGAGCCACCAAATTCTAAAGTCACTCTGTTCGTTGTCGTTTTGCTTTTATTTCTCTCATCCAATCCTTGCATTCCTCTGCGGAGCCATTGGGATAAGCTAGCTGCCATGTGAGAATTTTCTGTTGCTGCAAAACAGAGCAATCGTCGTTTATGTATATAAGAGAGAAGCAAGAGAGGATCAATGATCAATTGTGAGAGATTTTGATTGCACATCTTTGGGATCTAGCATTCGATTAAAGCATTAAGGCCAAGGTTTTGCAGGATTAGTCACAGCAAAAGACAAGCCTGATAAATTATCTGGTGATCTAAGAAACAGAGGCATAAAGGAGCATTTTACTAGGATCTAAGTTCAATTTTGACTGAGCACAAATTTTCGGAACTATACACCCGAGAGCTGAAACCCCAAGATTTATTCGAACATCTAGAAAGTTTTTTCCTATTATGGTTCCTTGGCAGAGATATAGGACGAGAAAAAGTTCTGATTTCTGTAGATTAAGAATTGGGGATTCATTAAATGAAATGAAGCCTTACCCATTCACGGATGAGGGATCCGCTAATATCCGCAATTTGCATGATCTCCCTGCCATTCACCAGAGGCTTCACATCCCAGATGTTATCAAGACCTGTAATGTTAAGCAAAAAAACACTGTTACGTATGTGGAATGGGCCCCCCCCCAGGCACATTGACAGATGCAGCTTGAAAGATGGGAATAATGAACTTTCTAGGGATGCTTTACTCTTCCACCCTACTTATGCATCGCTAATGAAAATCAGAAAGATCGCCCAAAAAAAAAGAATTGGAAAATCAGCTGTTCATATGATTTTCTTAGTTCTACTTTTGTGAGTCTGTTAATCACAGAAACCCACGTAGCCTTGGTAACTAGTCGCAGCCTAACTTCTTCTGCCTCCTCTTGGAAATATCTATCTCTAATGCTACCATTAATCAAACATAGTAACGCTTACCCAGTTCACAAATGGTGTCCTCAATTTTTAGGTAAATTTCTCGCATCTTGTCCAGTTGGAAATCCAGATGCCCAATTTCTTGACCTTCATTCATGCCGTCAACCGTACACAACAACAAAGATGATAGGAGCGCAACACGCCAGTAGCCTTTGATATCTCTAAGAAGAAACCCTGGAATAGTATCAAAACAAACCATTTTAGTTATATACATATGGTAGGGTATACTATGTTCACTAAACACAAGTGTCTAAAACTCGTACTTTAAAAGATTATAGAGAAGATGATCAAAAGTTATAAGCTATCATATCAGTTTAATTGATCAATAATCTATAAAATTAGAACGCTTATGATATTAGATTACTGTACGAGTAACAGAAAGACATCACTAATTTTATCTATAACATTGATTAACTGGAATAAGTTAGTAGTGATTTTACTTTTTGCAAGTTTTTAAGGTGGGTATAATACAATACCCTATAGGCACTATAGAGGAGTACCTGCGAGTACTCTTATTTTTGAAGTTGCTGGGACTTCTGGATCGTTAAGGGAGATGGACTTCCAGTGCTCAAGAACATCAGTGGCCCAATCAAGCTTGTCCTGTTGTAAGTCATTCTTCAATTGAAGGGGATGAATCAATGATAGGAATCTCTCCGTGGTACGATGTATATTCATAACCTGGAGAAGATGTATTTCGTTATCACAATAGTGATGCATCTGTTAAGCCGTAAAGCAGTCAAACTTAAAAAGGCATGGTAAAACGAGATACTGCTCTTGATCTTGAACAGAAGCACACCGACAATCTAATGCAAATCAAAGCTTACTAATTTAATTGGTTTTTTCACTATTACCAAGTATCGCCCTATATTTACTGCAATTAAGGCCTAAGATATTGAACATTAATAATCAGAGCTCACAGTTTCAGCGTCACTGGTCTTCCGCTTCAAGGAGAATTTGAAGATGTGGTTGACAACAGGAATCTGAAAAAGAGCTCAAGTTTTAATTGCTTAGACTGCCAAACTCAGATTTATTTAACTTAAGAAAAGATGACAAAAGTTCAAATACATAAGGAACTACAGTACCGATTTGCGCTTATCGTCTTTGTAAATGGTTTTCCTAAAGGGGAGAAACAGAGCAGCGTACAGAGCAAGCCTTCTTTGTTCACCCTAAAACCAAATCATAACATACTTTTTAAATCCTAATGACTTAAAAAAGCTAGGGGAACTCAGTGACTCAGTCTTTAGCAATTCTACAAGAAGCTATCGCGACAGAACTCACACTGAACTTTCCTAACCCAGGTGTTTGAATGAGGCTCCACATAGCTTCCAAGTAGGATTGGCAGAGGCTAAGATAGCGAGACATGTGAGTGATTTTTGCAAAATATGAATAGCAGTGTCACAGAACCAAATTTGCTAAGTTCCCATGTGCTAAGAGTAGAAATGAGATAAACCTGCCACAATTCTCCGATGGTGAAGGCTCAGATGAAGAGGGAAAGGCAAAGACAACCCTAAATAGTTTCAAATCAGAAAGATACGTTACTGCTGAAACTGGTCCATTCCCAGATATCATCAAATCGATCTGCACCAAGAAATCAACTTGAGTAACAATAAACCCTAAAAAGAGAAGTTGCCAGAAAAATCAGCTATATCCAGCAAGCAGGACGTGCAGATACATACTTCATTCCCGATCCGCTCTCTGCTAATTTTTTCTCCAAGAGCCACCCTTACTTCCTCACTTGAAGCAGCTTGTTTTAGTTCTTCATCCAGAGTAAAACCAAATCTTGCACCTGTTATGGCAGTAATTAGCCAGGACTGACAAACCGACAACCACAGAGCTCAAATGAAGGATCTGAGATGGGTAATGTAATGGCATAAAATGAGAGAAAAAAAAACAAGTACCAAAGCGAATAGCTCGGAGAACTCGCAAAGGATCATCCAGAAACGTAGCTTTTGCAGGCAATGGTGTAACAATTCGTCCAGACTTGAGGTCATCGATGCCTGTGGTTTTATCAGTTGCTATAAACTATTATTTTGAACATCACAAGAAATGAATGCTGGCAATGGCAACTCTAGGATGCACTAACCTCTTTCTGTAAGATCTTCTACTGAGTCAGTGTTAATGTTGTAGAACAAGCTGTCAGATTTAAGAAATCTTAAAAACGTCACAACTTGCATTTGGTGATACACAGATCATAGTTATGCTACTTTTTGTTCCTGATGAGGAGGAGAGTACCTATTTATGGTTAAGTCTCTCCTATAAGCATCCTCTTTTGCGGTGCCAAATTTCTGTAATAAAGCAGAGAAATAAAAACTTAGAAAAACTAAGCAGCACAAGCACTTAGGTCTTCTCCATTGCAACCCTGGAAAACTAATATAGTTACAATGTTTGGAATAGGTTGTGTTATGCATACGTAGCAGATAAATATCTTCAAACTACATAGAGAATTAACAAGGAGCAGTACCATTGTAGGAATACGACTATTTTCCGTGTATTCTTCACATCTCAAATTTACAAAATCTATCCATTGGTCATAAAGGCGCATCCTTGCAGTCTCCAAGTGTTTGGATTGGTCAGGATTCCTGAAAGAAGCCAACATTAACAACAATAACTATAGCGTATCAGAATTAGACCCGGCGGGGGAAAGCTTGTGTAAATCAAACATGAAAAGTTAAAGACCACCTTTCAATAATAGTGTCGCCTTGTACTTGTTCGTCTCTAGAAGATAAATATTCCTTGACCTTATCAAGAAACGCACTTCCAGACATATTGTCGATTGCTATATCGATATCATCACTATCTTTCCCTAGAAGCTGAATACAAAGATAAAAGCAAACATAAACCCTCAAACATTCTTCATTATATCAACACTCAAGACAGAAATTTCCAGTATGCAATGTCAAATCCTCCTAGTCCAACCAATATTGTACAAGCACGTTCCACAAAAAGCTCCAACCCCTAATTCTCTTTCGACCTTTCTATTTTAGGGTTTGAGAATCTAAAAACGGGACACTGAAATCGAAACAGTACCTTATCGCGCACCCATCCACCGGCGACACGAAGCTGAGTATCGAGGTTGCAAAAGCGGAGAGTACCGAGAAGCCGGTCAAAGATTTCTCGCTCTTTCTCAGTGAGATCAATCTTCTCCTTCAACTCAATTGAGGAAATCGATTGCTTCTCCATCATCGCCTTCGTTGAGAACCAGAAACAAGACAGATTCGGCGAAATCCTGGAAAGGGGAAGAAGCGATGAACAAGTGCGAAACGCGACGGGGCTAGGGTTACGGTAACGAGAAGGGGAAATCGGAAGATTTATAATAGTGTTAATGGGAAGAGAAAGTCTCATTGTTTTTTAGCGGCTCGGTTAATGGCGCGTTTTTCTTCTGCGGCGATTTACGGCAGCGTCTGAAACGGTTTGAGTGCATGGGCCAGGTCAGATTCGTATAAGGCCTGATAAAAGCCCAATTTTTCATCGCAATTCTTATAGAGGGAATCAATTTTAATTTTTTTTGTTTTTTTCCATCTCGAATTTATGGCATCAAATGGTAACAACATAATTT